TAAGCAGCCTAGTTGGGATGGGTTAAAGTGAACATTTTGTCCTCAAAGTTGATGTGTTAGAAGCAGGACTGGGTCAGAGCATCTCCAAAACTGCAGTCTTGTGAGGTGTTCCCAGTCTGCAGTGGTCAGTACCTATCAAAAGTGGTCCAAGGAAGGAATAGCGGGGAACCAGTGACAGGGTCAACACATGGCACCAGGATCCACTGTGGGAAGAAGGCAAGCCGGTGAAAGCAGTGTGACTTTGGGCAATGTGTGAATTTGGGCAATGTTCTGCTGGGAAACATTGGGTCCTGCCATTCATCTGGATGTTTATTTGACACATACCACCTACCTAAACATTGTTGCAGACCACGCTTTCATGAAATCAATAAAGCACCGTTCCATAAAGCAAGGAGGAACACAACAACAAGTTCAAATTCAAGGTGTTGACTTGGCTCCAAATTCCCCAGATCTCAATCCAATCACGATTCGATCCATGGAGGCCCCACTTCACAGGACTTAAATGGTAAATGGACTGTACTACTTTCAAGTCTTTTGACCACTGAATGTGCTGTACTGTACATTACATGCCACACACTCACCCTATTCATACACTGATGCTCACCAGAACAGAAACTAAGCATTCACACACAGTCACATGGCATCAGGAGCAATTTGGGATTCAGTATTTTACTCAAGGACACCTTGACAGGAGGACAAAGAGAGCCAGAGGTTGAACCCCCAACCTTCTGATTAGTGGATGACCCTCTCTTCCTCGCAGCCACAGCCGCCACTTAAGGGATCTGCTACTAATGTGTTGGGTCAGGGCTGTTTTGGCAGCAAAAGGGGGACCTACACAATATTAGGCAGGTGGTCATAATGTTATGGCTGATTGGTGTAAATCGGTCGGCTCTAATTCATTCTGTGGACTCTGTGGACAGAGTTTAACAAAAATGGGTTTGAAGATTAGTATTGGTACACTGAATTCCTACCCTACCTATAGTATGCTAAAAAATTAGCTTAGCTTAAAATTAATAACATCAATCTTTGCCTCTTTTTAGGTAGCAGGAGTGACAATTTGTCATTCTTAACATTTATTGTGTTCTGGTTTCAGAATGATGAATTAAATACAAAAAAGGGTGTAGGCTGTACAGGTGATGATTTATGGGGCAACTAGCTTGAAAAATAGTGCATATGGCTGGATATTGCCTGGTGGTATGCTCCCACTCAAGACATAATGTATGATGCACATTTAAGTTGATGAACTGTAAAAACTTTTGTTTTATTTTTTGTCTAATGGCTACTTATTTTTACAGTTGGAGAATATAAGAACCTACAGCAGTAATAAATTAAAATGCGAAATTAATTTCCATATAATTTTTTGGCAAAGCCACAGGGAGCCACTGAAGAGGGGCTAAAGAGCTGCAGGATCCCCCTGCCCTAGCTACTTAACTTAAGCATCACAACTAAATGCCTAACCCCAACCCTTTACCTCCCCCTAAACCTTAACCCAAATCTAATCTTAACCAAGTCTTCACCCTCAAACTCTACCCAAAGTGAGCACGGGCCAAAATGTCCTCATTTTGCAAACATGTCCTCACTTCCAAGGTAAAACTCAAATTGGTCCTAACAAAGATAGACATACAAGAGCACAGATTCACACACAGTGAGTCAACAGAGGCGTACTTGTCTATGATTCTTTATTTGTGTTTTTCATAGAGAACATTTAAAATGGTTCATACCCCCACAATAACTGACATCACTTCTCTGGGTTATAACACTGACACAGGAACAGGGGAACATGTACACAAGTACACAAACACACAGTCACAAATTCGGCCCATCTACAGTGTTTTACTTCCTGAACAAAAGAAATAAAATAAAGTAACAAAAAACATGAGACCCCGAGGACACACAGCCAAGGCCTGTCCCACTTTACAAAACGGTGCAGTAGCAAAGGAACGACCACATCTACAAAAGTAACAAAAATTACCATACAATCTATCATTGTGGAAGTGCTTGTAATTTTGGAAGTTTTGTACTTTTTTAAAAGGATATCAATATCAATGCCTAGAAAATCACCAGTAAAAATAGCTCTTCTCTGTAAAAATGTGCTAGCAGGACAACCCTTGGCTGTGGATTTTTTTTTTCTTTGTCACAAACTTTTTTTAAACCATTTTCAACTTGTCTTCAATACAACAACAATAATACTGTTTCTTCTTAATACAAATATGTACAGAGACTTCCACGTGTTTCAAAATAATGCCCTGCACACTGACGCATTATCTAGGGATGATGATGATGATGACAATGATGATGTTCTTCAGATTCCTTCACAGAAACTGTCCATGCAGTTTGGTACCTGAATTGACAATGAAATCACAGTTTCTTTAGCCTAACAATAGCTTGTCGTTTCATATCTCTGTCACAGAATGGCCTCTACCTGCATGTAAAAGACACATTTATTTTATTTCCCTACACATAGTGACTCTCCTCCCCAGACCCCCCGCCCCCTTAAGTATTGGTTAAGAGATCTAGAACCAGACCATATGTTTTCAACAGTATTGGAACCAACTTTGCCAAGTGTAAACTTGTCTTGTCTGAAATGAGCAGAGTGAAAAAGGCACACATGATAAGACCACACAGTTTGTAACTACGGCAGGGAGGAAGGAGAGGAGGGCGGGGACTGGGGAGGTGGGGAGCTGGGGAGGGGGCTTTTGGTTTTGCTCAGCTTGATGAAAAGTGCCACTCAACTACACATTCTCTTTCTCACAAGTCCATTTTGTATACGCCGTACGTGTCTAGGTATGACTGTTCAAGCGCACCTTCTGTGGCTAACATGGACCCAAGATGCAAAAGTGTGCTCCCCTCCCCTCCCCTACCCACATCTCAAACACACAGCTGGCTTTTGGTCTGGGCTGGTTTTTTCCTGAAAGTGTCATAATGTTAAATATTTCATTTTCATTCCAGGTGCTTTAGGGAAGCTGGGCCTTGACCAGTTTGTTTTTTTAATTTCCTTTGCTATTTCGAATAATAAAACTCACTCCATCACTCAATACTTCTATGTAAATAAGAAAACATACAGTGCGTGGGTGCAGAACCAACCGTGGGTTGCATTCGCTTTCTCAGCTGACATTTTTTTTAAATGCTACGCTTTCATGGCCTCAGTGTTATTCATTTACATACTTCAGTAGACAATTTCATCAAGCAGTTTAAAAGGGGTCATGCCATATCAAATAAGTTAGGAGAATATTTGCAGTCTTAACACTCTTGGGTAGTATTCTCGTGCATTTTCAAGAGAGGAAGGATATGCTACTTTGTTAACCAAATGCATCAAAACTATCTTTCCTGAGGAAAGGTTACACAAGACATGAAGAAGGGGGATGTTGGGGTGGGGGGCTGGGGTTTAAAAGTCATAAAACGCTTTGACATTCTTTTGAGTGATGGACACATATTTATGCAACAAACGCCTCCTCCTAAAACAAGGGGGAGATTGTGTAGCCTAACAAATCAATTTCCCACTCCCACACACTCATCTCATTTCACACGAGGCCTTGATCCAGCCGCTGCTATCGCCTCTAGCCTCAGCTGACTGGCTGACCTATGGCATTGCTCTGTTCTGCTTTAGCAGCTCTCCCCAGTCACCTGAGAACCAAATTCAGCTTCCTGTCAATCTCTTTTGGTTTTTTTTGTTTGGAAAAGAAAGTACAGCTTCCTTTTTGTACATTAGACAGCACAGGCTAAACCCCCTGAATCCAAGACATGTCTCTATCTGACATAACGATACTCGTTTTCTACAGCAACAAACAGGTTTGACGATGCTTTGTACTGTAATGCTCCCTCCAGCGTGGGGTGGGGGGGGGGGGGGG